TTGGATGAAATGCGTGTGGACATGCACGTTGACACAGCACGTTCCACATGCATTTATCTTTATATTTCCGAAATAGGCTCTGTCGTAGTTGTTACTGTTAACTGTTCCCTCATGGAGACGTCACGTACGATAGGTAAAACACTTCCCAGACTCATGTATATGTATTCAGTATATAATATATTGTATATATATTTTGGAACTAGGAGTGACATCCACCTCCTAAACAACATACTTCTGACAACTCTGATAAACAACAACAACATAATATATAATAATATATATTATATATAATATAGTATATATCTGTAATATATCATATAATATGTTGCTCTGTGCCATCAAGTCCCTTGCGACTCACAGCAACCCTATGTACAAGAGCCCTAAACCTTGCTCTATCCTGTGCCAACCTCTCTGTCTTTGACACACCTACTCCCACTACTCCAATTACTGAATCAATTCATCTCTTAGAGGGTCTTCCTCTCCTGGGCTGTACCTCCACTCTCCAAAACATGATGTTTCTCTCCAAGGACAAGGATCCTTCTTTGCAACATGCCCAAAGTATATCAGACAAAGCTTCAGAATCCTGACTCCAAGGAGCAGCCTGGCTTCACCTTCTCCAGGACAAACCTGTTTGTTCTCCTAGCAGTCCATGGTATATTCAACATTCTTCTCCAGCACCACAGCTCAAAGGCATAAGTTCTCTTTCTATCATCACTAGTCACTGTCCAGCTCTCTGATGTATAGCACGCAATTGTGAAGACCACAGCCCAGATCAGGTGAACCCTAGTCTCCGGCCTGATGTCGTTGCTCTTCAGTACTCTGGAGAGATCCCTGACAGCTGACTTCCCCAATGCAATTCATCTCTTGATTTCCTGGCTGCTGGTACCAAGAGTGTTGACTGTGGAGCCAAGCAGACTAAAACTATTAAGTAGCTTAATCTCTTTACTATCCATACTGACGCTGCCGGTTGGCCATGGTGAGACTATTTGTTTTCTTGATGTTGTCAATCCATATTGAAGGCTGCCATCCTTGGCCTTCTGCAGCAAGCATAATATATGTTGTTGTTGATTGCCATCAAGTTGAGCACAACTCATAGCAACCCATCTTTCACCCATGGAGCAGCAGGTAGAATTGAACCTTGTGCCTTTAGGTTGGCAGCATGGCATTTATAAAAGTACATAAATCCAACTCATTGCCCCTGAGTAATTCAAGCTTAGAATGAGCTACCTGCTAGGACGTGGTAGGACTACCCCTTCAGGTTTCCAAGGTTGTAATCTTCCCAGAAATAGCTGCCTTGTCTTGATTCTGGTGGGTTTAAACTGCCAACTCTTCAGGTAGTAGCTGGGTGCTTTAATCACGGTGCCACCAAGGCTCCTGGTAGACTATAGACTTGCATAAAAGTCCTTGGAACTAAACATAAAGTATGGCAACGGCTTTCGGTGCAGACACAGTGCAGCTCAGCCCGGGGCATTATCCACAGTTCCCACTAGATAACTCAACTGTTGGAAGCTGAATGCCCTCACCTGGTACTCTTCTAACTAGTGACCACATAGTCCACCCTGGCTCATGGTGGCCTCACATGTGTCCAAGTGGAACTGAGCCCCATTAAGGTTTTCCACGACTGAGGATTTTCAGAGGTGGTCATTTCTAGGTGCCATCGAGTCCAGAAGTCTCACTGAACAACAGATCTGAACCCTATCCCATCCTGTGCCATCCTCACCATCTCTGACATTTTCTTCCTGACATGCCTTTCAGTAGATTCGAACCTTCAGCTTTCTGTTAGCAGCTGTGCACGTGGACTGCTTGTACCACCCGGGTTCTCTAAAGTGCTCCTTGAGAAGGCTCTGTCCCTTGCATATATCTTTCTCTATATACCTAGTAAGCACCAGCTTTGAGCCTGGCATTACCTTTTTTTTTAAAAAAAAAAAGTAAACAAACAAACATCAAAATGCTGCTGACAAGTCAATTCTGACATAGACTGATCCCATAAGACAGAGGAGGCTCTGGTGGTCAACCAGAAGGCACAGAGTTCGAATCCGCAGCTGCTCCTTGGGAGAAAAAGGAGCCATCTCTTTCCGTGCAATTTACTGCCTCTGAAAACCTGCTGCTACAGCTCGGTTCTGACTCTACAGCGTATATACATCAACATAGGACAGAGTGGAACTGTTACCCTTACTCAATTGCCTCGTCCTTCCCCTGTGCAGTGGCTGATGGGTTCTGTCCATCATTTTTTTCAGTTAGCAAACCAATACTTAACACACTGTGCCTTCTTCAGGATTCCTCTATCTTGGAGGCAAACCTAACCCAATCCAGCTCTTTGTCTTTGATGTTGACTCATGGCGCCCCCATGTGTTAGAGAGGAGAACTGCTCCATAGTGTATTGGTGGACTCTTAGGGAGCTTGGCTGTCAGAAGAAGTGAGTTGAACTCTCTGACTTTAGGTGGGTGTTTTGAATCCACCAGCTGCTCTGAGGGAGAAAGACAGGCAGTCTCCTCTGCAGCATCTGAAAACCCCCTGGAGGGGCAGCTCTGATCTGTTCCAACTCAGTGGCAATGAGTTTGACATTTGAGGGTTTTTTCTTCACAAAAACAAGATTGCCGGGTCTTTCCATCATGATACCATTCGGTAAGTTCAATCTTTCCATAGTGATACCACTCAGTAAGTTCAAACAGCCAAAAAAAAAAAAAAAGACAATAAATAAGCAAATAAATCTCAAAACCAACTTAGGAACGGACCTCCATAAATCATACAGGAGGAGATTGCCCATCTTTCTCCTGCTGAGCTCCCTGGTGGATTTGAACCACCAAAGAGGGGAGGACTTTGGGTCAGCAGCTCAGCTGCCTACAGATTATGCCACCAGAGTTCCATTTGCACCACCCTGAACTTTAAAGGCAGGCCAGCTATTTCCATTTCCTAGAGGTAAATCCTGAGGCTCAGGGGAGTTAAGCTCCTCCTGCCTAAGGCAATAAAGATCATACCTGAACCAGGTAGGTCTCCCACCCGTGCTCTGCTACAGTAAAGCCAGGCCCCAGGCCCCCTCTTTAAGGCCTCCCTTCCCTGGACTTTGATAACTCGCCTTAACTGAGTTGGTGGAACTCCAGCCTCAGGCTAGATGTGTAAGCACTCTGCTTCCTTTCATCTTCACATCCCTCTTCTGGGGAGGGGTAACCCTATGCGTTTTAAAACAAAGGAAATACCAGAGAGGATGAATTTTCCCAATGTATACTAGGGATAGAAAAGAATTGGGGCTGTAGTCTTGCTACTTCTAATACACATGAGGGTCTTTGAACCCTATAATCAAATTACTTAAGCAGTCACATGAACGCAGAGAGCTCACTTCAGCTTTCTTTTTCTGTAGGGATCAAGACAAGTCAGGACAAGCCTGGGGAGGGGGTAGCAGGGCAGGAATGGTTGTCCAGGAGGGAGTACCCCTATTCTCCGCAGGATGGAGTCATGGGGTCCCTGCAGGAACTTGTGCTCAACGGGTGTGTGTGAGACAAAAATCAGTCATGGCATCATCCTGTTCTGAGTGAGGGTAGGGGCAGAGATCAGTCATGGGGTCCCAGGTACCCTTGTTATTTCCAGGGCTGGGGCACAGGATTGGGCAGTGGGATGCTGCCAGGCCTGTTTTCAGCAGGGTGGGGACAGTGGTGGCTGGTAGGTACACATAAGACCTGGGTTTAGTGGAGCTGAGGTGAACAGAAATGAGTTATGGGGTCCTGGGGACAGAGGGACAAGAATGAGTTATGAGGTCCCTACGCTGAGGGCAGAGAAATGAGTCTTACAGTCCCTATGGCAGTGGGGGGACAGGAATGAGTTATGGGTTCCAATGGCAGGGGAGTTGGGGAGATAGGGATGAGTCCCTGCCATGGGGGTGGAGGGGTGGGAATGAGTTATGGGATCTTGAAAATGGAGATGAAATGACACGGATCAGTTGTGGAATCCCTGCTGAAAAGGTAGGAGAATGAGTCACGGGGCCCTCATGGCATTGGGGGGATAGAAATGATTTCTATCCCAGTAGTTGGAGTTGGGGGACAGTTATCTGTAATAGGGTTTTGGGGGTGAGGGGATGGGAATGAGTCCTTGTTGTGGATGTAGAGGAGAGTAGTAAGTTGTGGGGGTTCTCATGGAAGGGGGACAGGAATGAGTAATGTGGTCTTGAAAAGGGAGGTGGAGTGACAGGTATCAGTTGTTGGGTACCAGAAGTTTGAGGGGGTATAAATATCAGCTATGGGTCACTGTGGTGGAGATGGGGAACAAATATCAGCCATGGGCTCCTGGTGGAGGAAGAAGTAAGGAGAAGCATCAACTATAGGATAGGGTCCAGGGGATAGAAGTAGGGGAGAAGGTATCAGCTGTGGGGTTCCAGGGATAGGGATTGGGGGCACAAATATCGATCACAGTGCCTGAGTGATAGAGCTAGGCGAGCAGGGATCAGGTGTGGGGTCCCAGCAATAGGAACTGGCATTTGGGTTGGAGAAATAGGGGAGCAGGTATCAGCTGTGGGGTCCCAGGGATAGGGATTGGGGGTGCAAATATCGATCATAGTGCCTGATTGATGGAACTAGGCGAGCAGAGATCAGGTGTGGGGTCCCAGCAACAGGGACTGGGTGTGCAAGTGCCGATTATAGGGCCTAGGTGATGAAAATGGCGCAGGTATTAGCTGTGGGGTCCCAGCAATAGGGGTTGGGGGTGCAAGTATCAATCATAGGGTCTGGGTGATGGAGATAGGGGAGCAGGTATCAGCTGTGGGGTCCTAGCAATAGGAGCAGGAACTGTGAGGTCTGGGTGGATTGGTGGGGAAGGGGTGACAAGTATCAGTCTGTGGTCCTGGTGGAAGTGGGAGGTGGGATACCATCAGCCATAGGGCGTAGGTGGTGGAAGAAGGGGGACAGTTATCAGTCGTGGGGTTCCAGCAGGAGGGATGGGAGGTCCAAGTATAACCGTGGGGTCCCCGCACCTCGTCCTCACAGAGCTCTGTGTTCCGTCTCTCCGTGTAGGCTGCTCCAAAGTGACCTGCATCAGCCTGACCCGGGAGGCCTCCATTAAACTGTCCCCCTTGCACGGCAAACAGATTTCCATCCGCTACCTGGACATGACGGACTGCTTCGTGCTGGAGGACGAGGGTCTGCACACCATCGCGGCGCACTGCACGCAGCTCACGCACCTGTACCTGCGCCGCTGCGTGCGCCTCACCGACGAGGGCCTGCGCTACCTGATGATCTACTGCGCCTCCATCAAGGAGCTGAGCGTCAGCGACTGCCGCTTCGTCAGCGACTTCGGCCTGCGCGAGATCGCCAAGCTCGAGGGGCGCCTGCGCTACCTGAGCATAGCGCACTGCGGCCGCGTCACCGACGTGGGCGTGCGCTACATCGCCAAGTACTGCGCCAAGCTGCGCTACCTCAACGCGCGCGGCTGCGAGGGCCTCACGGACCATGGCCTCGAGTACCTGGCCAAGAACTGCGCCAAGCTCAAGTCCCTGGACATCGGCAAGTGCCCGCTCGTGTCCGACACGGGCCTCGAGTGCCTGGCCCTCAACTGCTTCAACCTCAAGCGGCTCAGCCTCAAGTCCTGCGAGAGCATCACGGGCCAGGGCCTGCAGATCGTGGCCGCCAACTGCTTCGACCTGCAGATGCTCAATGTGCAGGACTGTGAGGTGTCGGTGGAGGCCCTCCGCTTCGTCAAACGCCACTGCAAGCGCTGCGTCATCGAGCACACCAACCCCGCCTTCTTCTAGGGGACCTGCTGGCCCCGGTGCCACTTTACGCAAACACCAACACAACAAAAGATTTGCTTTCTGATAGTTTCTTTTTCTTTTTTTTTTTACCAAACGGCAGCCTGTATGGTAAGCTCAGGACAGTGCTCATGACAGCTGTTCTGTGCCTTCCACAGGAAAGTTTAGGATTCTTGGGTTTTTACTTTGTGCTCCTAATGTCTCCTGGGCAGCCAAGGTCAAAGGAAAATCAAAGGGGAGGGGAGAAAAAACACCTACACATTTCTATTACAGTAAACAGAGATTCTTCGGTTTGGGGGTTATAATTTCCCCCCCTAGTTTCTCTTGGATAACAGATTAAAGAAGGGAAAACAACCGACATATTTTTAGATTCCTAAACAGTATGTTTTTTAAAGGGTATCGGGAAAGAGGCAAGTCATTCGAGGGGTGTTTCCATCTTACTTGGAAAGGCTGGAGTTTTGTGCCCCTTTCAGAAGTAACTCTGAGTAAAGACCTGGCAATCTCCAAGCAGATGAGCCATGGAACACCCTGTTGCTGTGCAGTTCTCCCCTGACACACATGGGATGCCATGAGTCCTGCTGGACTTCCCTTCCCCAGCAGAGGTCCCTCAGCAGGGTAATTGCCATGTCCTTCTCCCCTGCTACACTCTTGAAGCTTCACACCCACAGACCTCCCTAATCGTGTCTGAGTAATTCTCTCTAGCTCTCCTTTGCTTGAAACCTCATGATTGACCCAGACCACCTAGTCAATGGATGTTCAAGCCCTTCATAGACACAAGGTGTATTCCCTTCATTTTGGAGGTGCCCAACGTCAAGAGCAGCAAAGAAAGGGGGAACCCCTGGTCCTCTTTACCTGGCTTTGCCACTGGTGAGCTGTGTGGCTTAGGGTGCAGCCCTACACTCTCTAGGCTTCAGCTTCCAGGGCTGAACCAGAGATTGTGAATCAGAGGCAAAGCAAGAGTTTGTTTGCCATAGACCAGGAGGATCACAGATGCCAATAAACAGAAGCACCTGGGATTTGACCTCTCTCAGGTGCACTGAGGCTGGGCCCAAGCCATGCTTCTAGTAAATTCTCAAGTGCCAACATGAGGGCACAGAGTTCTGTGTCCTCTTTTCCTGATCCACACATTACCAATACTGCGTCCCTGTTTTTTGAGGGTGTGTCTATTACACACCATCCCCTGCCCTGCTAGATGGCAGGGGCCCCATGCACCAGCGCTTTCAGCATTGCTCCACCTCACAGCATTGTAGAATGGGTCTGGAATTCCCAATCACAGCAGAGCCCAGAGACCTTAGGGGGCGTTTTCAAATGGAAGCAAAACCCTCCTGCTTTATAACGGGGAGTGGAGATCATCTGTGTGCAGATCCTTGAGGGTTTTGCCCCACCACCCTTCCACGTGTGGGGTGCTCCAGGTCCACCCATCTTCCACCTGCCTGCCACAGGCCCAGGGACCCTTTGCCGTTCAGATTGCACTCCTACTTTGCTTGTCTATTTATTTTGTTTTGCATTCCGACTTCCTTCGCCCTTCATCCCATGAATTCTGTTGGGGTTAGTTCTTAAGTGTTTAATTGTCCAAATCACCACCTCCTGTGCCTCCCGCTGTGTCTGGCTGTTGTGTTTTCTGTTCAAGAACTCCAGGCAGACGTTTACATGGTGTATTTCCAGTTAAAAACCCCAGACAGATGGAAGGCAGGTCACACTGATAAAGACCGGGAAAGAGCACTCACACGATTACCAAATAGAAATGGCAGTTGGGCCTATTTGGATAACAATCTATAGTTGAGCTTCATCTGTATGCAGTTGGGATGCCAGAAGGAAGTCCTTGCTCATTTCCATGAAGTTGTGTTGCTTTTTTTTTTTTTCTTAACAGGCACAGGGCCTTCCCCAAATTCTTCCTTCAACACTGTTTGAAGGTCTCATTAATTTTCTTCTCAAAGGATCCACCGTGCAAACCCCTTTACTCTCCCAGTCCACCATGCTGAGGTGTTTTAGATCAGGAAATACCTCTGCTTGACAACTGCACCCCACTGTAGGCTCCGTGCACCATCCTTTGTCTTGTGTTGGGAGGGAGACAGGCTGATGTGGAATCCTTCCTGCATCCTAGGAAACATGACCCCAGTACAATCAACGTAAACTCAGCCAGTACAATCAACATCAACTGAGTTACATGTGCATTTAAGGCTGTGTGTGATGGGTGGGTGAGGAGTGTCTGTAGCTGGCCATAAGTTTATAACTGTCAGGAAGATTGAGTGGCCTCATTCTGCTTTGATTTGTGACCCTGTTTAAAGGGTACAGATTCCTGTGTCACAAAGGAGGAACCCCTGTAGTTGGTGTTTGAGTCTTCCTTGTAAGTTGATTTAAGACCCTTGGAATGAGAAGGAAGATCCCAAATGGTTCCCAAAGTAGAAAATGGGTTTCCCACTCTGAGTAAGTATACCACCACCTGACCACATCAGCTAAGTGGCCTCCCAACACCAGACAAAACTGACTTTGCACACTCAACGTCCAGCTTCCCTGGCGTTTCCAGACTCTTCCTCTCCCCGAGTCTTCTCTTCATCCATTCTGCTCCCCTCTGAGTGTGAGGATAAGGCAGAGGCAGCAGAGGCAACAGCTTAGCGGATTTCTAGAGACAGCAGACAGCAGAAGGCCTCACGGGAAACGGATCTGCTCACAGCACTGCTTCCTTCCCGGCTCCGCTCCATTGAATGCTCACTGTTTCTGACTCTGATGTTCAAATCACTGCGTGCTGTATGACTCTAGAAAGCCTTAACTTACTACCACCGAGAAATAAAGCAATATGTTGATAGATAAGCAGGCTGAGCCTCATTTAATGCCCTTCTCGGAGAATGGGGTGGTCAGGGGGAGACACTCAAGTGTTAGGGAGAAATTTGCTTTATGTTAAAAGATATCAAGTCAGCTCTCAACACTGCTGTTGCCCCTTTAATGTCTTCTTCATGATTAAGTCTTTTCCCCTGGCCAAAGGATCTGAACTGCAAATGAGCAGGTAAGCCCTCAAAAAAAACCAAACACAAAAAAGCCAAACCTCTCACATTCCTTTCATAATTCAAGTATTTTCACATGTTCGGAGTTATTAGTTTGTGGCTGTGTACTGTCAAGTTGGAAATGACTCAGCTGGCACTCCAGTGGGTTTTCAGAGATAGTAAATCACACAGGAGGCAATTTTGCATCTTTCTCCCACAGAGCAACTGGTGGATTTGAACTGTGTGCCTTTGGGATGGCAGCACAACTCCTTACCACTGGGCCACCAGAGCTCCCTAAGTTACCTAGTTACCTAGTTGACTTAAGAGTGCTAGAGATTTCATAGTTTAGAAAGGCATACACAATGTGGGAGTCCTGGTAGCCTTGTGGTCTTGATGATTGACTGCTAACAAAAAGGTTGCAGTTTTGAACCCACGAGCCACTCGATGGAAGAAAGTTGAAGTTGGTTGCCTCTGGAAATGTTTATAGCTTCAGAAGCCCTGCGGGACACCTCTACTCTGCAAGGTTGCTGTGACTTGGGATCAACTCAGTGCCAGTGGGTTTGGATTTGGGGTACATATTGAGTGGTGGACCAGTGGGGATAGAACTGCTCTGCCAGTTCCAAGACAGCTAGTTCGAATGTACCATCTGCTGCACCAGAAAAAGACAAGCAATCTCCTGTGTGAATCCCAACCTTTGAAAACCTGCCAGAGGGACAGCTGTGAGCTGGTTCCATCTCAACAGCAGTAAGGCTGTTTATATGGAGGGAGATTGGGTGGCAAGGTCTATAGAGAGCTGCACTGCTCACTAAGGACTACACCTCTCTGGTAGTTCAAATCCACCAGCAGCTTTGGAGAAGAAAGACGGGCTGTGTCACCTGATGTGATACAGCCTCAGAATCCACAAGGGGGCCAACAGTGAGCCAGTTATGAGATGAGTCGACAGCAATGACTTTGGCTTTGGTTTTCTATATAAGGTGGAGTCTCTTGGTGATGAAAACACCCATGAACACTCAACTATTACCTGGAAGGTAAATCATTTGATGCCACTCAGCCATGCCTCGGAAGAAGGCCTGGTGAGTGGCTTCCCAAGGTCAAGACCTTGAACACTGTAAAGGATCCCAGTGCTGAGCTGCACACACTCTATCACCTGAATTGGGATCAACTCCAAGGCAACAACATGACAGGTTTTCAGTGAGTAAGAATCCTTACCCTGAAGGACCTCAGATCAGTTAGTTACCTGGGGTTTCATGCAATGAGCGGGAATGGATGACTGATTTCCTTATCTGAATATGCGATATAATACAGCCACATCTGAGGCGGTATCTCTTAACCACACACATTCATGCTGCTTCAGCAATCAGAATTTCTTCACAACTCAGCAAACATTCACTATTGAAGATTATTACAAACTACAAAGTAATGTATCAGTTCAGGTAAGATTTTTGCCACCAAATTAATTTATTCCAGACATATTGGAAAAAACTAATTTTTTCAGAGCATCCTGAATTTCAGAATCATGCACCATTGTGTACCAATATATACTTGTCTTTGTACTGGTTAAAACTTTGGAAGTATGTATGCATGTGTGCATTTTACCTAGGGTTACTGTGAGTCAGATTTGACTGTGTGTGTGTGTGTGTGTGTGTGTGTGTGTGTGTGTGTGTGTGTGTGTGTTTGAACCAGCTTTAGAGACAGATCTTACTGTGATTACATATTTGGCTGTTAACCAAAAGGTTCACATTCGAACCTACCAGCCTCCTGCTTGGGAGAAAGATATAGTGATCTGCTTTCCGTAAAGACGCCTGCCTCGGAAATCCCACGGGACAGTTCTCTGTCATATAGAGTTGCTAGGAGTCAGAATCAATGAAATGGCAGTGGAGTTTGTGATTTGTAGCCTTAGAACCTGCAAAAAAGAATATGGTAACTAGAAGTAAAGGGAAAACAATCGACAATCAGTTGTTGTTGTTGTTGGGTGCCATGGAATTGACTACAATCCATAGCAAACCTGTGAACAACCGATCTGAAGCTGGCTCTATGCCACATCCTCACCGTCTCCGATGTGCTCGAGACC